TGACGCGTATGTTTTTATTGTTTCTTTCCAGTCCTTCATTTCCTTGTATCTCTCATTCACATTTACCTCCGTTATTTACTAGTCTTTACCTCAAGCCACAAATCTTTCCCTTTATATATGAAACCTTATTTCTGTCTCACCTCAGTCGTTCCTCACTTTACGGTGACTGACGTCTGAGTTGTGTTTGCTTCTACAGGTTATGGGCCCCGCTGCGCTCACCTATGAACTCAGAATTCAGTCACGATGACCTGGCTCGGCGACTCGCCCCCACATTCCCATTTTAATAACATCCCCGCAGTCCACACAAATCTCGCTGCAGCCTTGTAGCTGGCGACTACACTCAACACACGTGGCCTCACTTTCCATTTTGGCCTCACACACTGGTTTTCACTGCAGCTCACAGCTGGCGACGACATTCAATTTACACAGTCCTACATTACTTCCCGGCCTCACATATACTTTCCCGCACTCGAATTCACTTCGGCAATGCACAAGACTTCACATTACCTTCCACATCTTGCAATCACTCGCATCGCACCATTAATATCCTGGGTCAAAGGGACTACTCTACAGCAAATACACTCCTACACACATACGGTACAACACATTTTATGCCCGCCGCCCATGCAAATTTCCCTATGTCGTTACCTACTCATCTCCCACATCCGACACTATTCCATACCCACCGGTTCCCTCCCTATGAGAATGGGACACACTGTGTAACACCACATGCCACCATGTCGGCTCTGACAGGACTATGATTCAATGATCAGGATCAGAGCCACAGCCAACGCATACTACGTACCAAGGGATTCTTCATGTTGATGCATGCTAAACACATACATTGAATCATCGACTCAACACAAGGCCAACAAACTCTCTTGGCCGCCATTTCCAAGCACCAAGACAACGGATAACACACAACGCGTCCTTCAGTGCCAGACCAGATTTTGTTCACGAAGGACGTAACTCCGAGGTTTAAAGTCAAAGGTCCATCGGTGCTGCAGCCTTTTCAACACTCATGTTGATGTACGCCATGCTGGAGTTGATCCACGAGTACGACCAAACGAACTACTTCTTAACACGTCTCATCCACATTCAATGAGCCGCCGGCGATTTTGGCGCTATAGATCTCCTGGAGCTGTCTGCTGCCCTGACATACTTCCGAGAGCCACTCTGCTCTTCATTCACGGACGTTCCCCCCAGACATGATACTCTTCAAGTTCTAGGACATGACGTGTCTCGCTCCACCAGGGGGAACCTGCTGTCAAGGCGCATAGAGTGCTGAAGAGGTGTCGGAAAAGGTACCATCATTGAGCCATATCCTCCGACTACTCCATACCATCACCACCATGTCATCACCTCCTGCCAACCTCCCGCCATAATTACCTTCACCATAGCAGAACACATTACCTGCCAGCAGCAGTTCCCCGGGGAGGGCCTTCGCAATCACTGGGGACCCAATCAGTTGCGACACCGACCGACGCCATACGATTCGTTGGCTCCTCGACCTGCATCACTGTCACCTACAACACCACCTGCCAAAAACGACACGCTCAACACAACTAGCGGTTGCTTATCGTTCACCACTACCAATGGCTTGCCGCGGTCATGTATGCAGTCGACTGTGCATTGAAGACTATTCCCTCAGACGAGCACGTTATCCCAATAATATCACTACACGACCCATGTACCTCTTTTCCCCATGTCCGGCTCCATGATGGCTTCGCTCGTTCAGAGCGGCCACGAGCTAACGATATGGGATATAACAGAATCCAGGCAACGTTTTCATTTGATGCAAGGGACGATCCTTGTGGGGAGAGAAGCCTCGATAGCCCCTACTGAAATGCCGGCCGACGCAAGTGTAGTCGATGAGGGGGAGATACCTGCACCCGCATTAGTGATGCCTCCTTACACGCACGGTATTTGTACTCACTAACTGAACCATGTGCCTTCACCACTACACTGTCGTCGCCCACACTCGCTTCGCCCACACACGACGCCGAATACGACATACTCATTACCACTTTGCCTGAACGTCATCCTCCAAAAGAGGTATCCAGCACTGTGCACTGTCAACTTTTGAGAAGGAGGCAATCTAGCCACTGCCCTACTACGCACAGAGCGCAAAGCCACACCACCAGAGTCTATGTGTCAGGAAACAAGCCTCCTACGATATCATTCACACACCTCTCCGCCAATCTCGCCAGACTACATCACGTTCACACTTTTGCAACCACGGAGGATAAGTTGCATGTGGTCTTCTTGAATGTATGCAATAGGCGCTGTTGGTTTGGGGAGAGGAGATACAAAATGCGCCCACGGTTGACGTAATGGTCTCGGCGTTGCCTCGGACCGAGCATCTTGATGTTCATGCACGTTGCACATCCTGTGCGGTGCTGCCAAACCCACCTCATCACATACCTACTTCGTTCCCTATCGCCATTGTTGGAGAAATATCATCAGAAAGTTCACGCCACTATCTCCAAACTCGCCTCCACCTACTCCCTATGAGGCTGGGCTGCTCCTACACCCATCCACACTACGGTCACTACCATCAGAGATGCCCCCTCCCTACACTCTTCACAGCGCATACTATCGCACATCCGGAACACGGGATTCGGGGGAGCTAAGGAATTCTTTGGATCTGGGACTCTCCTACACATTCCACCTCCCGATTTGCTGAACATCCCAACTCGTAATCCGCCAAACCCCAGGAGCAGGCAGCATAATAACAGCCCAACATCCTTAAACGGCCACCTCATCCTACAAAATCACTCCAACCTTTGCATGGAACATAACCTTTGTCCCAGCCACGCCAACACACCTCACCGTCTCTGCCGTATGTGATAACGGGAACATGTACCCCGTGGGATCGACGGTCAAGATTATACCCGGAATGGCGACGAGTGTGGTACGGGGCATGTATTCATACCGGCAGGCGCACACGAAGACACTGCTTGCACAGGCGCCGTACACGTTGAATGCCTGGGACAAGAGGGGCCCAGAGGCACCGAAACGTGGGGGTATTCCTGCCGAATAGTCTGTTGCAGTTTGCGCTTTGTACGCCTCAGCCGTATACGCTGCTGGCTCCCACCTCCTCCACACGACAAGTAACCGGTATGGGCCTTTTGCGGGTATAAAGAGCATCCCATTTAGTGCTCGAAATCCCTGCATCCCGTTGTTTCTGTTACCCGAGGACCTCTCATCTCGCGACGTTTTCGTTTCCTCTCTCAGCACTATGATTTCTTACTCACTTTATCCCAACACGGCCACTCGTATACAACATCACATAATCCTCCA